CTTTGCAAAAGCAGGCCATGACTTGCAGAAAACAAGCTGTTAAATGTCACACAATTCCCCACCAACCATTTTTATTATGGGATAACTCAGAGAAGCGACCCTCTCTGCAACAGCATTCATAACACACACTGGCCAGAAGGGGGCGCCGAACACCACCACCAAAATTGACGGCCATGCCTCCAGACCTGTGGCCTCAGGTGGCAGAAACCGAGAGAAGGTAGCAGGCGTGTTTCCTCTACTGTCCTTGCATCATCCTGTGTGAGATTCAGCGCTCCGAGTGGAAAAGGGGAAGACCACGCTCGAGGAAGTCATTAAAGGATGCTAAATACATGTATGCAAATATATTTGTCGGTTTTTGACTGTATTTTATTGTTTTTATTTTCCGTTCTGTTAAATTGTGTTTTGATTATGTTGTTTATGTATGTTGTAAAACACCCAGATTGGATTGATAGGAGGTATAAAAATGAATGAATGAATGAATGAATGAATGAATGAATGAATGAATGAATGAATCAATCAATCAATCAATCAATCAATCAATCAATCAATCAATCATATTTTTCAGGCATTCCATTCCATCTGGCAAAATTCAGATGGAAAGTCAAATCACCTTAATGTAAGAGGGCCATAATAGGCAGCATTATCCTTTTGTATGTATGTATATATGTACTGTATATACCGTGTTTCCCCGAAAATAAGACAGTGTCTTATATTAATTTTTGCTCCAAAAAACACACTAGGGCTTATTTTCAGGGGATGTTTTATTTTACAGTCATGTCCTCTTCAGGTTGCTGCACTACGGTGGAGGGCGGGGTTTCACTTAACTGGGGCTTATTTTTGGGGTAGGGCTTCTATTTCGAGCATCCCGAAAAATCATACTAGGGCTTATTTTCAGGTGAGGCCTTATTTTCAGGGAAACAGGGTATTTATTTATTTATTTATTGGCAGGGTGCATCTTGTTTCGGATGGAACAGTGTGCAAAAAAGTCTGGAACAGCACCGTCCTGCAAAGGGAAAGTCTTCTGGATGTGCCAGATCTTTTTTTTTCTGGGGTGCCAAGGCCCTGTTCCTTATTTATGAGGGGTCCTCAGGCATCCATACATTTGATACTAAAAGGACCCCATGCATTGGGAATTATTCTTTCTTGTCTCAAAGAGCAGAGTATTCTGTTCATCGTGATATGCAATGGATAATGATCAAAATTCTCCTTTGGAGGTTCAAGGATGTGCAAAGCTCAAGTTATTCAGCTACTCTGTTTCAAGATTTCACACAAAACTTGCTTTCCTTTAAAAAAAAATCCAGAACTGAGAGGGCATCACGGATACTTCATCCTTAAGCGCACTAGTTCTGAACAAGGTTGTTGGGTAGCAATCAAACCCAACTCCCAGATTCTTGAAGCAATCATTTCCCCCTCCCTTCTTAAATTCCACCCCCGCCTTTATTTTACCTGGAGTGATCAGCTGTAATAAGCTGTCTGCCTTATCGCTCTTTATACGATGAAAGCGTTCTACCTCTTTGCATTTTATGTATTTTAGAATCCCTTGGTCTTTGATTTATTTTTTTTTAAATGCATGCACGTTAGTAGTAGCTATTCGTTGGCTACCCTCTCAGTCCAAAGAAGCGACTCGAAATGAATCCAGATGTGGGGTGGGCCAATGACAGCAAATTGGTTGAACTAATGGGACCTTGTCCCTTCCTTCTTTTACTACATCTCCCTCCATCGGTAGGTCTACTGCGGCTGACATGAGCAATTCAGGCCAGGCCTAGGAGCCAAAGGAAGCATCATTAAGCATCTTTTCATACCCAGCCCCCCACCGCCTTTCCTCTCCCCTGGAGAGGCAGTTCAACGGACAGAAGGGGATGTTCGGGGGCAGCCAACGGCACGTGCCACTTAAATGTGTCTCTGAGATGGTTGTCATCTCCACCAGCAACCTGCTGTCAAGGGGAGAAGGAGGGGGGGCGGGAATTGGTGGCACGCGCCTGAATTGAAACGGCACAAAGATTAAACTGATAATGGTTCTCTGGGGACCACTCGCCAGCTGTCCCCAAGCGTGCAAGTGTTAACGAGGGCTTGGCGCAGAAGAGCGAAGGGATTTGAGCTCTCCTCCGTTTTAACCCTTCTCCTCTCTCTAAAAAAAAACGGACCGAAGGATCAGCCAGGCGGTCCAACTCTCAAGTGAAGCCTGGATTCTGAAAAAAAAGTTAAAAGAACCCACCAACTGCATCATCCTTCTGGGGCAGCAGGGGAACAGACGGGGAAGAGAGGTTAGCCAAACAGAACTATGCTAATGAAGCCAGGCCTTCAATGTCTACTTTCTCTTGGAAATGCAAAATGAGCTTAAGGCACTAGCTGGCAAATATCAGCAAATATCAGCTCCCATTTTTTTGTTTGTGCTGGGGAGGTTCAGGGATGCTCCAGGCCAACCCCCACCACCTTCTGGTTCCTGCAGTGGGGCTAGGTATAGGGGAGGATGGGAGTAGCTAGGCTAGAACATCTGGAGGGCTGAAGGTGCTCCACCCCAACGCAGGATGATGGGGTTGGAAGAGGCCTCAAAGGTCATCCACACCTGGTCAGAGAAGCTAACCTACACTCAGAGCATCCTTGACAGAGGGCCACCCAACCTTCCTTTGAACATCGCCTGTGAAGGAAAACCTGCTATCTTCTCAGTTAATCTGTTAACAGGGTTCAGTGACATTTATCAGCAGAAACTTGACCCTAATATGTAATCAGGACCTTTGTCTTGGCCATTTGGTATCCATTGTTTGGGTCCCTACCCCCTGGATCTCCAGAAAACAAACTTCACAGGACATGCCTTCAATTATCTGAAGACGGCTATTGTATTATTTCTCAGTCTTTTTCCTCTCTCGGCTAAACCTACCCATCTCCCCCAAGTTTTCCTGGCAGAGCCTGGTTCCCAGACCCACGAGGCTCCAGCTTGTCAATATCCTTCTTAAACCAGAGGGCACAGAACTCGCTCACCGATGTATTTGGGTTTAGTCTTTCAAAATATTGCAATCGTTATTCATTACACCTTTTAATATTCTTTCTTTTAATACTGTGATGCACCTTGAATCTCTTTAGGGGAATGGCAGCCAGCCAACCAGCAAAAGCAAGCAAGCAAACAAACAAATGGTTGAATGTTATTCAGCTCACACCAAATCCTGCAGGAGTTGGAGTGGGGCTTCTGACAGGACAGATTTCAAGAGACCAGGAGTGGGTTGGGGGCTAAGCTGTGGGGAGGCAGAGTTTGGAGATCCTTGTGGAAGCACCTCCCAGACCTTGTGCAAAGTTGTAGGGACGTGAGTCCCCATGCTGGGCCACCAGAAGCTCTTGGACTACAACTCCCAGAAATCCTAGCCAGTGCAGCGATTGGTGAAGGCTACTGGGAGTTGCAGTCCAGGAGCATTTGGGGACCCCATCGTTGAGACCCACTGTTGTCAGCCAAAACCTCTCAGATGCTACTAGATGCTCTGGGTCTTCCCTCCCAGCATCTTTTATGTTTAGGCCTGCAGACCCACCAACGTCTAAGAGACCCAAGGGTGACAAAATGTTGTTGTAAGAGGATTTGGGAGCCCCCTCTTAACCATCATGATGAGAAAGAAGCCTTACGGTCATCAGAGCTTGCAAATCCATGAGATTCCCCTCTGCTCCCATCTTAAGTGCAGTTTGATAAGAAGGACACAACCTTTGGTGTCTGGATGGACCCTAAATTCAAGACCAGGCACACATTCTTTGAGATGGTTGTTTGCATCGAGAGGGGTATCCTCATGGTAGGGATGAGCCCTGTCTTCAGATAAATGAGAAAACAATGACAAAATCAGGCCTATTGAGGCAACCATGAAGCAACCATGGGGCACAGCAAATAGCCTTAGGCACTCATAGGATGGAGCACCACCCCCTATAGATTCATCATGTTACACTTAGCATTCACAGGGTTACATTTTTTAAAGTCATGTGATTAAAAGTGGGGAACAGGGAATCGAAAGCATGACTACCTTATAAGGAAGATGCTGAACGGGTGCCAAAGGAGGAAACTGGGAGCTTACATCGCAGGGCGTCTCCTGTACTCTCCCATCATCCAGGGTCTCTGGATCAGGCCAGCCAGAAGCTGCTCTCTACCTTTCTTCTTTCTTTAGCTGCTGTGCAAAAGGAGGGACTTTTATCAGTGTAACATATCACATGGATTTTGCCTTCTTGAATGTACTTCCCCGCCTTTCGAAACCAAAGCCAGTTACACTAATAGGACTCTCTCCTTCATAGAAGTTAGCTATTTGGTTTTAGCTGCTTTTTCCTGCTCTGTCGCTGGTCCGCTGTGGGAGTCACCACCCCTGCCTCTGCAGAGAGAGAAAGAAAGCGTAAGGTTGTCCTCGCTCATACTGTGAATACTCAGAACAAAGTGAATTGTAACTAGAGCGACGGAGCTGGGGCTGGGCCCCATGGCACCCAAATTTAGAAGCAACCAGAAATGGAGAGAGGAGAATCTCTTGAAAGCAAGAGATTCTCCTCTCGATTTTTGGTTGTTTTAGGAAAGCAAATGCCAACACTTCCCATTTGCTTTGCTTTGCCTGCCTGCCTTTTCTCTTTTTTCTCTTCCTTCCTTCCTTCCTTAGAGAAAGCTTAAGGCTGTCCGCGCTCATACTGTGAACACTCGGAACAAAGTGAACTGTAACTAGAGCGAGGGAGCTGGGGCTGTGCCCTATGGCACCCAAATTTAGAAGCAACCAGAAATCCAGAGGAGAATCTCTTGAAAGCAAGAGATTCTCCTCTCGATTTTTGGTTGTTTTAGGAAAGCAAATGCCAACACTTCCCATTTGCTTTGCTTTGCCTGCCTGCTTTTCCTTCCTTCCTTCCTTCCTTCCTTCCTTCCTTCCTTCCTTCCTTCCACCCATCAGCTTCTTCCTGCCTTCCTGCCTGCCTGCCTGCCTGCCTGCCTGCGTTCGGATGGACATGATACAATTTACAGCGGTTTGATACCTCTTTAAGACAAGGTTGCCTGAATCCTGGGATTTCCAATTCACAGCTCGAGGGTCGGTTGTCCGCCTTTGGGTGCCCTCCACCTTCGAGGCACTCAAAGGCGGCAGCGGCTCAGCCTTGAGCCCCGAGGGCGCCGCCACCCGCTGACCCGCCCGGACCCGACGAGGAGACACCCCCCCCCGGTTCCCACGCCTGACCCTCCCTCCCCCTCCGCTTGGCGGTGACAGCGGGAGCACCTTCCCGTCGGAGGCTGCAGAGCAGAAGGTCTGTCTGGCTTGCCTGTGAGCCTCTTCCCTTCTCCGTCGCGGTCGCGTGCCGACGTTGGTCGTGAGGATGACCGCTGGCCGGGTCCTTGCAGGAGAGGGCTGCTGCACCCGAAGGAGTGCCTCTACTCCTTTTTTGGTCGGGAGCGCCAGTTCTTCATCCGTCCCCCGGAGAAGCCGTCAGCAAAACTCTCCTCTGCCCCCAGGACTGCCCGCTGGCGACCCTCCCCTTCCCGGTGTCTTACGACCGATGGGGAGAGAGTGCGTGTCATCATCTACCAACAGCCCTCTTTAAACTGTGGGGGAAGGGTTGGGGGCGGACTAGCTCCCTCCCCCACTCCCTGAGCTTCAGCGATCTTTTGTTGAAAACTTCCTCCCGGTGTCTCGGCTTGGAAGCGGCCAGATAGAGATGGCGTGGCGGGGGTTGTGAGGGGGCGTTAGGATCTGGGCAGGGCATTATCTCTCTACCCTCCTGCCCCTCCCTCTGTGATGCTCTGGAGTCTTACGTCTAGCCAAGGACCAAAAACAGAGGTGGATTTAGAGACGGGGAGAGTCCGACACCCCTCCCCCAATGGATCCTGGACGCCACCGGCTGTTTGAACTATCCAATCAGAGCCAGGAGTGGGAGGAGGGGGGGATAGATCAGCTTCTAACAGACCCCACCACCCCCAAAGATAGGCGGGGAAGGAGGGG